GCAGACAGTTCTGATAGGATTCTGATCCTGGTCACAGAAGGGGATACCTGGTGTACAGCACTCGAGTAGCCACTGCTGGCTGATATAAAGTGCTGCAGGACTGGGACTCATCACTGGATCTGCTTCAGGCATAGGACAGACTGCACACCCAACAAAAGGCTGGGCTGAAGGCTTTCTGGACAAGACCCTTTCTGGGTGGCACAAAATTGGACCTTACAGAAGTGGCATGCATACTTGTAGCAGTGTGGTATCCTATCTGCTAGTCCCGTAACAAACGCTATGCAGGCCACACCGGGGCCAGTGACATTCCAGGCTCCTGAACCACATCCAGTTGATGAACCAACAGCTAAGCTAAAGTGTTGGGACACTAATTAGGGTACATAACTGGACTTGGTGGTAGTAGCAACACAGATATAGACACTGTCTGGCGAGAGAGTGAAAAGGGAAATGGGTTGAGCTAAGAGCCATATGGGTTGAGGTGGCTCATGAGAACTGGCCACTAACTATCCACACAGATAGCTGGGCTGCTTTTAGAGGCCTGGGCCTTGGATGGCAGGTGGCAAAAGGAGCACTGGCAGGTGCCTCGTAGGCCACCATGGGGACAACAGACAAGGAGGGAGGTGTATGAAATAACACAAAATGAGTCACAGCCACTAACAGTCTTCCCTGTGGCTGCCTATGCCTATTAAGTCCCCAGGTAATCATTAGGCTAGTGCACTCACAAATGTGCAAGCCACTTGTCTCCAGAAACCTCAGAAAGTTCTAGTTATGGCCTCCAAAAATGGACACACTAGCTGCAAAGGTACACAAGTCAACATGCCCAGCACAAGATTGGCAAGTAGATTATACCAGATGCATTTTAGAACTGAATGGTGAGTTCCTGCCACTAGAGACACAGTATGCATTAGCTGCAGGACATGGAGAAATCAAGGTAAGACTGAGCTGGCAGCTTCTCCTGAGGGGAGGACTGTTCCCAGTGGCCCTGCTCAGTGCTGAGCCACACATGGCACACTGTCAGCTTGCCATCCAGGTTGTGCGTACTGGAGCAGAAGAGTCACAATGGTCTACTTTCCAGTTGGACCATAATTCCACCCAAGGGAAGGGACCCATATGCGGTATGGTTAGGTCAGGACAAAAACCAGTGGCCATGACAGAGAAGCACTGCTGTTTTGTTAAATGGATATGATGTGTCAGCAAAACTTCCATCTAAACATTTGTGTCTGCATCCCCAGCTTACTGTGGCTACTTGCCACAGCCAAGAGGACACCTTCTCACGGGGCAGTGACCACAGGGGCAACCCACAAGTCTCACTGCTGGGCCTGTGGCGACCATTTCCTCTTCCCTCTTTCACTCCAAGAAGCATGCCCTGAATGTGTTGCCTTACCTCCACACCCCCTCAAATTGGAGCAACTTTTTGCACCCACCCCTCATACTGAGATGGGGCCTGAAAACATTTATTGGGGACTTATACTCTTGTTGATATTTGTGTCATTGTAGGAGTGGGTGCCACCACTGTGGTCTGGCTGGTTGCATGGGATAACATCCCAGAGCTCAGCTCTCAATAAAGGAGATAATGCTTCCTCCAAGGCCCAGCAAAGGGGGTGGGAAAACCTTAAGAGGTGGATGAATGGGTCGAGTATAATGAGACTTGCCCTCCAAACCGTAGCCAAAGTAACTACATCTGTCACAGGCCCACTTAGCTGTCCAGTACACCCTCAACAGGTGCTGAAGCTGTGCACCAGACTAGCATGGCAACACTGTAAATCACGGCAGTTAACAGTGCTCAGTGAGACAGCAGTTTCCTGATAAGGATGAGGCGGAAGCAGAGGAGCATTTTGCTTAGTACTGCTTTTGATATTGCTTTTGTGTTTTAACCAGAGCCCTATAAGCCAGTGGTGTAGAGAAGAGGGATGAGTGGCTTCAGTAGTGCCACAGCCCGAGAGTCAACCATGCTCTGCAGGCAGTACCCAGTAAAGCCATTTACTAGCCAAGCTGGACTTGTTAAAGTCATTCTTGGGACGCTGGCTCCTTAGTTCAAAGAGAGACATATCTTTTACATTTCTGCAGTAAATGCATGCAATAGCCACAAAAAGGTCTCAACAAACTTTAAAACACTGAAACTATACCAAGTATCTTTTCTGATCATAGTGGTATAAAACTAGAACTCAAAAACAAAAGAAAAAACCTTTGGATAGTATACTAATGCATGAAATTCAACAAAATGGTCCCCAAGAACCAATGGGTTCATGAACAAATGCAAGAGGGAAAGGAGAATGGAGAGTGACAACACAACATAACGCAGCATGAGATTACAGCAAAAGTGGTACTCAGAGGGAAAATTACAAAAATAAGTACCAAAATGTAAAAATACGTATCAAAAAAGTAGAGACTCAGGATAAACAACCTAATGCTGCATCTTAAAGAACCAGAAGGGGAAGGGCCGGGATTTAGCTCAGCAGTTTGGTGGCCTGCCTTGCAAGCGCAAGGACCGGAGTTCAATCCCCGGTACCCCCAAACAACAACAACAACAAAAAAAAGAACCGGAAGGGGAACAAACCAAATTCCAAGTTAGTATAATAAAATAATAAAGATCAGTGCAGAAATAAATGAAATAGAGAAAAAAATAATTCCAAAACATCAATAAAACAAAGAGTTTTAAAAAAGATAAATAAACTTGACAAACCTTTAGATAGGCTAAAGAAAAAAAGAGAGAGAAGACTCAAAATCTGGGACAAAAAATGAGATTTTTAGAATCAACACCCTGGAAATACAGAGGATCATTACAGACAATTATGAAAAACTATATACAAAAAAATGGAAAAATGTTACAGAAATGGAAAAAATTCCTGAAGACATACAACTTACTAAAAAATAAATCATGAAGAAACAAAGCCTCGATAAACCAATCAATAACAAAAACATTCTTACTTATGAAAAGCCCATGGCCAGATGGCTTTACTCCTGAAATCTACCAATTAACCAAGGAACATCAATCCTTTTCAAATTATTTCAGAGTATTGAAAGGGAAAGAATTGTTCCAAGATCATTAATTTGATACCCAAACAAGACAAAGAAACAACCACCACAACAAAAGAAAGAGAAAGGAAGGAGGAAAGAAAGAAAGAAAAGCACATAAATGTGAGAGAATGAAAAGATGAAAATAAAGTGTTTGTAGATGGGGAGGGGAGGAGGGGGTGAAGGGAGGGCAGAGGTAATGGGAAAAAAATGAGAATCAAGACTTGCCATGTAAAGGTACATGATCCCAACAATGAATGTAACTGTACTGTATCCCTAAATGTACCAATAAACTCAATTAAAAAATAAATAAATAAAAAAAGAAAGAAAAGCACAGCACGGCAAGCAAGCTAAAGACCAACATCCCTGAGGAACACAGATGCACAAATCCTTAACAAAATACTAGCAAACCAAATCAAGTATCACACGAGAAAGATCATTCCCATGGTCAAGTGGGATTTGTTCCAGGGATGCAAGAGTGTTTTAACATGCACAAATCAAAAATGTGATACATCATAGCAACAGAATGCAGGGCAAACAATGTGTGATTATTTCAATAGACAGAGAAAAAGCTGCTTAGAAGATATTTTACAGTCTTCTAAATTTATGTAAAAATAAACTAAATAAATTAAAACAGGTAACAGAGTTTGTAAACAAAAAAAAGATGTGCTAAATAAATAAAAACTGATAGGCTGACATTAAATTTCTAGTAATCTAAGAAAGAAAACACAATTTATGAAAATAAGAAGTACACTAACTGGGGAATAATCTCAAGAACATGAAACTGAAACAATCAAGACAGTGTTTTGTTCAACTCCACATTGATACATTTTGCAACTTGAGTGAAGTGGGAGTATTTGTGTAGTTTGCTAAAATTGATACATGGGGAACTATAAAGGCGAAGTACACTTATTTCCACAAATTAGAACTAAGAAAGAGGTATCCAGTCATAACGCTCCTAGTCTAAATGATGTCTAAGAAAAAGTCTTACAGACTTTGCTACATGAGCTAGAAGTCCTATTTTTTTTGTAAGTGCTTCATGAATGCTCAAAAATACTATGTGCTTGTTGGGAAAAAAGTTATACATAGCCTATTAATTATATTTAAAGAAAGAATAACAATAAAGCTGTTTAGACTGTATTTCCCAAGATAAATTTAATAAACATTTTAAATAAATTTAAGAAAACATTTTAGTAAATTTAAGACATCACCAAGTAGAGTCCTAGGGAAAGTAATGAATACACATTATGTTTAATGGCCTGACACCTGTGACAAGCAAGGGACGCTAGAAAACAGGGAGCTCAGATGGAAAGGATAAGGAAGAAGAGTTGGAAGCAAAGGGCAGGATGTACTGGGAAGATGACCCAGTAAACGCTATTATGATGCCAGAATAGCTAGCTTTGATTTGTGTTGCAGGAAACACTAACACTGGCTTTATTAATGTTATCAAACGTGTATTTTAGAGAAAGCTCTCCTATGGTCACACGGAGACAAAAGGGAATGCAGGGAGTATATGGATGTCCTGTAATAGTATTAGCAAAAGATGCCAAAATCCTACCAAGCTTAAAGCAATAACTATGAAGGTGTACAGTTAAGAGAAGCATGAAGGATTTTACAGCTATGACATATATTTCAATAATTACAAAACATTCACAATTTGTCTTTTTCATAACTTATCTAATTTGATTCTCAAAGTAGGAAGAATAGACACAATATCATCAACTTAAAAATTAGAAAATTGACAACTAAATATGTATCAGCTTTCCTCATCTAAAGGAACAGGTCGTTCTTTCCATTATAAAAAGCCAGATAAAGCCACCTCCTCTCCAGGGGACATACATGTGGCCGAATATTTTAATATGTTGCCATATTATAATATGAATAAAGTATTTCAGGAAGAACTATAGTATTTTTAATCAACTAATTTAACTTACTTGGCATTCTCCATCTAAGTAATTTATGATTATTTTCAAAAGTCTTATTACCTCCAAAGTCAGCTGATTTACTTTTGAAACTGTCACTCCAGGAAAAACATCTCCTAGGATATTTTCAAAAAGTGGTACATATTCAGGAGGAAATTTTGATAAACTAGTTTCTCTTATAGCCTCCATTATGATCAGCGTTTCTTCTGCTTCCAAAGGATTGTCACTGGTATCACTTCAATGGTTGGAAAAAAACCAAAAGAAGTTAGTAGGTCAGCTCTGCTACCATTGAAGACCGCTCAAACTCCTCTGTAGAGTGGCTGCTCCAACACCTCACCCTCTCCCTCACTGCTCACTGCAGTGTAGTGTAGTGTGGGTGGGATTACCCCGGGCCCCACTCCAGCGATGGTGTTTGACTGGTCTAGAACTGTATGTGTTTCGCCATTCTTTAGCCACTGATACAAGGGCACTATATCAGAGAGGGGTTTTAGTTGCAAATAACAGAAATGAATTTAGGCTAATGTAGTTTTCTTTTTAAATTGATTTATTGAAAATCTATAGGAGGACCAGAACAAGGCTCGCAGGCTCTGCAGCTGGGAACAAAGGCCAAAATTATGGCCATCGTCTTATCGGACATAGCTGTGGCTCTCAACAGTCCAGAGCATTAGTGCCTGTCACACCAACGATGGATGCTAGAGCTAGAACTGCTCACTACCTCTGCCACTCCTAGCAAGTGCTGTCACCTGTGCCAGAATGGTTCTCTCTGGTGGTGATGGGGGGGCAGTAGTACTGGGGATTTAGCTTTAAGGTTATTACACTGAGCTACATTCCCAGTCCTTTTTACACAGGGTCTAAGTCACTCAATTGCCCAGGCTGGGTTCAAACTTGCAATCCTCCTCAGTCTCCTAAAGTGGCAGAAGTATAGGTATATACCAACCCCCCTAGCTCAATGATCCTGTAAGAAGTACTTTCACAGATGAAGATCTCTACGTGTCCCTCCCATCCTCTTTTGTACGGATATCTGAAATTCTTCCTTAGAATAGTTATACTTTAGGGGCTCCCCCCGCGGGGGGCACTGAGGAGTGCACACAGGAGTACTTTTACCTGTGAGACTGCACACTTCAGACAATCAGAGTGGCCAGCTTCAGACTTCAGGAAGTTGGGAGACAGATACCAGGACCCTGATAATTTTCTTTTGTAAACAATTGATTAGTACATGTAAGGTATATAATGCGATGACACTCATCATTGGAAAACTGCACCTTGACATAACCCATCTTGGTCCTTAGTTTTCCCCACTCCCCTGCCCTCCCTTCTGCCCTCCACTCCTCCTTATCTGCAAACACTATTTCCACGTTTTGTCTCATGTTAATCCCATTCTCATCTTTCTTTTCTCCTACCCTTCCCATTTCCTCTTCCCCTTTGTACCTTTTCTTCTTACTTCACATTACACATTATATCTTTTTTTTGGTTGAGACAGGGTCTCACTATGTAGTTGAGACTGACCTGGAACTCACTATGTAGCCCAGGCTGGTCTCAAACTCACAGAGATCCTCCTGCCTCAGCCTCTCAAGTGCTGGGATCACAGGCGTGCGCCACCACACCTGGCTATATGTTATACCTTTTAGTCTTTACTTACACTTTCAGTTTCTCACACTACAGAAACTATTTGGTATTTACACATGTGCATCCTATTTATTTTGCTTAAGAGTATCACCTCCATGTGCATCCATTTAGCTATAAATGGCTCGTTTCTCATTCTTTATGGCTGAGTAGTAGTCCGTTTTATTAAACACACACACACACACACACACACATTTTCTTTATCCAGTCTCCTGCTGATGGACAACTGGGCTGCTTCCAAGTTTTAGCTATTATGAATCGTGCTACTGTGAACATGGGTGCACATGTTGTACAATTCTTTTAATCATGTGGGGAAGATAACCAGCAGAGGGATAGCAAGGTCAAACGGGACCTCCAATCCTAGTCTTTTGAGGAATCTCCATACTGATTTCCACAGTGGTTGCACCCAGTCTGCACTCCCACCAGCAGTGGAGCGGGGTTCCTCTTTCCCCGCAGCCCCACCAGCATTTGTTATTGTGTGATTTCATGACAGCAGCCATTCTTTCTGGGGTGAGGGGGAATCTCTGTTGTTTTCATTTGCATCTCTCAAATGACCAGCGATGTTGAACATTTTTTCATAGGTTTGCTATTTCTACTTCTTTGTCTGAGAAATGTCTGAGCTAAATCCCCAGCCTGAGAAGCTTTCTAATAAGAAGAGATCCCACTTGTTGATTGTTTGTGCTAGTTCACAGGTAAATGAGGTTTTGTTCATAAAATCTTTTCCTATACCAATGTCTTCAAGAATTCTACCTAACCTCTCTTTCATGTGTACCATCTCTTGAAGGGAGAAAATAACAGCAAAACTTACTCCAGGAATATTCAGTCTAGTTCAGGTTTCTCTCACTGCCCAATCATCTCATCCTTATCTATACAGCCTTAATTTCATGGACTTCTTTTAGTTGGCAGTGGAGACAAAGTGGAGCAGTACTAGCTCATATTTTCCCCCCTGGGTCTCTTTACAGGTTTATGCAACTGTCCTAGAAAGTACTGCTCCAAATTCTCAGGACTCCTCTCCCATCTTCACCTTCATCTCCTGTTGGAGTCTGAGGATCTGCTCCCTTCCTCTTCTTCTCCATCTTCCTTTGTATTCTGTGATCCCTGAGCAATGGCATTTGGCCTAAGTCTCTGATGAATCTGTCTCTGGAGGCTGCAGTTCTTGCTCAGCTCCAAGCCCTTCGTACAGAGTCCACTGGGCTTGGGCCTATTGTTGAGGACACACTCTTGGGCTTAGCATAGGCTCCCACTCTGTCCATAGCACGTCCTCAGATGGCAAATTGTTATGACTTGTATCTAGATGTCCTCGCAAAGCCTCTTGTGCTCATAGGCAGTGCTTTTCTATTTGTATGTCTTGCAGTGTGTGATTCTGTACTTGTGCAGATTTCATAAACGGGCTCATCAGTGCTTGCATGGACATCTGTCCAACCAGCTCAAGTGTTCTGTGTTCTGGACAACTGTGAGACTGCCAGTACAGCCAGCCCCAAGTACCTCTGAACAGAACCCATTTGCTTATTTTTTAAATTACTCTATGTTTGCAAAACATCTCTTTGTAACGGGTATCCTGACAGGCAGTATCTTGATCATGTTTTATCCTTTGCTCACCCTTCAATCTTCTCCTTCATCTTCTAATCTCCGAGTCTGCCTTTGTGTTTCCTACCATCTTTCCCTTATGTTTTAGGTCTCTCATATAACGGACAGCATGCAATATTTAACTTTCAGCATCTGACTTAATATTATGGTTTTAAGTTTCATCCATTTTCATGCAAATTTTATTGTTAAGGCTGAATAGTAACTCACTGTGCAGATTAATTCTTTTGGGACTGTATCTAGGAGGAGGATGGCTGAGTCAAAAGGTACTTCTATTTTTAGTTTTTTGAGGAATCTCTGTACTGATTTCCATAATGGGTGTACTAGTTCATACTCTCACCAACAATGTAGATGTGTTCCTTTTTCCTCATTTGCTTAATTCTTTAAAAGTCATTTCATTAAGTTTTCCAACAAGTAGGAAGAAAGTGACACTCAGAAAGATTAGTGTGTCCAGTGTCATACAGTCAGTGATAGTCTGAGGTGGGATTTGGTAAAGTCTGACTTTAAAAAGCTATGCTTATAAGCACTCCAGTATTGAAACAGGAGGTTTACAATGGATTGGAACTGTTAAGTCATGTTTCTCTGAGAATAATCTCAGTATTTACTTTGAACAAGTTTTGGCAGAAAGAGTCCAAATGAGGTTAAAGGAAAAGGACCACACAAGAGAAGAAAAACCGAGTTTCAGACTTCCCTGCTGGTAATAACTATGACCTTTTAGTATTTTGCCCTCAAGACAAAGCTTCCTTTATTAAGATGGTGATAAAGAATGACCAGAGTTTATTTGAAGATGATATTAAGTACAGACAACAGCCCAAATGTTCATCAACTGATGGATAAATATGTAGTTTATTTATACAATGGAGTACTACACTCTGCCATAAAGAAGGAAAAGCTTGAGACATTTCTAGCTAAATGGATGCACCTTGAGACCATATTCTTAAGTGAAATAAACTGGATACACATTTAAATACTGCATTGTTTCTTTGGTGTGAGAAACTGAAAGTGTAAATAAGGATAAAAATGTGTAACAGATATTGGGAAATGGGAAGAAAATGTTCAAATATGGAGGAGAATGAGGGAGGGAAAAGAGTGAAAAGAAAGGACAAGAAAAAATACAGAAGGAAAAAATGGAAACAAACCTTTTGTAAATAAGAAAGGAAAGAGGAGTTGGAGGGGAGGTGAATGGGAGAAAAAAGGAGATATATCATGCATAGGTACAAATACCCCATAATGTGTTATCCTTATGTATATCTAAAATGTACCAATAAAATTTTAAAAATTTAAAAAGTACAAACAGAGCAATAATGACTTAAAAGGTAACACTTCCCTAAAATTCTACAAGAGTAATTTTGGGGATGACATGTAAAATTACCATGAATTTGTTGTAATTTAAGGATAGTGAACATTTTAGACACATGTTAACATGTAATTAAGATTCAAGGAAGATAGTTAATGTGCTAAGACTCCTGTTAAAAGTGTTGAAAAGATTTTAATTCTCCAGCTATTATCAAATAAACCAATCCTACCAAAGAAGTCCCAGAACTCCAGCTGAACAATTAATTTCGTTTCTAAATGAAAGACATCTGGAAAAGTCTTTTAAGGAAGAGGGAGAAAATTGCCCATGATAGGCAGATAAAAGTAACCTCCCCAAAATACATTATTTTTTAATCTGCAGACTCTTGAATATTACCTAACTAAGCAAGAGTATTACTTTGTGTATAAATAGATGTGGTTAAAAAAAAAAGTCTTTAGCATTAACCCTAGACCAGTGGTGGTGAACCTATGGCACATCTGGCACAGTAGGCTGTTTTGTATCACTGAAAGCTCTAAAAGATGTGCTGTCACTGCCTGAGACTATCCAGCTCTGAATACAATCCCGGTTACATGCAAGAATCTTTTATCCTACCTTTTAATTTGTCTTTTGGAGTTCCTGTATCTTTTGATTATTTAGAAATCTTTTCTTTTGTGGTTACTGGATTTTGAATGTTAGTTTTAAGACTTCCGCACTCCAAGGACAAAAAAAGACATTTTATTTCTTCAAAATACTGTTTCATATTTTTTACACTTTGATCCTTTAGAGTTTACCTGATAAATGATGTGCCATGGTTCTAGCCTGATCTTCATCCAGATAGTTTACTTTTCTCAACATCAAATTAAGTAAAGGATCTATTCTTGTCCCCAGGTTTATGATGTACTAAATACCCAATGCATACAGTCCTGTTCCTGGATTTTGTATTGTTTCAGTGGTTTGCCTATCTACTTATGATCCAGTACAATATTTTGAGTTAAATTGAATTATTTTAGTATGTCTTCATACTTAGGATATTTTCCTTTTATTGCTCTTTTAAGTCTTTTATTTTTAGCTGGCTTTATTTTTCCATTTCAACTTTAGGAACAGCCAGCCTAAAAACAAAGAAGCCATTTGGTGTTTGTAATGAGGAGCATTTCCATTCATAAATTAACATTTAGAATATTTCAATCTTTATGATGTTAAGGTCTTTAAGATGTTATGTTTTGTGGTGCATTATTTTAGTTACCTACATTTTCATTTCTGCCTTTGGTTGTGCTATTGTTTTCCTCTTCTGTGTTTTACACATTTCTCAGGTAGGTAGAGTTATCCCTTGGTATCCAATGGGATTGGTTCCAGGACAAAAACAAATACTAAACGTTTCTGTAAAATGATATATCATTTGCATATAAACTATGCACATCCTTCCATATACTTTAACTCTAGATCACTTATAATTCGTAATTCAATGCAAATGCTATGTAAACAGCTGCTATACTGTATTGTTCAGGGGATAATAGGAAACAGTCTGTACATGTTCTAAACAGACACAATTTTTCTTTTCAAATATTTTTAATCTGTGTTTAGTTGAATTCCTGGATGTGGAAGCTGCAGATACAGACAGCTGATTGTTCATAAAAGTTTTGTGTTTCTCTTTAAATTACTGATCTTCTGAGGTTGTTTATTTCACTGTTTTTTATTATATAAAGGTGAAGCATTTTTTTTTTTTTAAAAGAAAAGGCTCTACTGGGGATAGGCACTCAAGTGATTTTGTGCACTTTTGTCTTCTTTTCTTTTCTTTCACATTCTAAAATATCTCTGCCATAGTTTAGTATGCCTCTCTTGGGGTTCCTTGTTTTAACTTTCATTATTACTCAAAAGTTCTACAGATTGTTTTTTCCAGTGGTACTTAACTCCTTCTGACCTAATGATAATTTCAAAGTACAACTTACCATTTAAACTCCTGTTTCTTCTTTCCAGCCATTATTAAAACTGTCTTCAAAGACCTCAAGCCAAAATCATAATGAGCCTATCAAAATTAAAATACTTGAGTTATTAAAGGACATCAAGGAAAGTAATTACAGAAGTATATGAATTTCTGATCACCTATGCTATGAAAGGAAATAGCCAATAGGAATCCAAGAAGCCTCAAATCTGTTTTTAATATGCTCACTTTTTCACATAATCTTGTGTTCTTAAGAGTCTATGAGTGGAAGGTAAGGTCTCATTAATTTGCCAAGACTGAATTCAAGTTATCCTGTTTCTCAACCTCTTGAGTAGCTGGGTCTACAAACATGTGCTGTGGTGCCCAGCAAAAGCCTCTTTCTTAAAAGAAAGAGTAACAAGTGTTAAGAACCAGCAGAATTAAATTATTTTTGAAGTAGAAAGAAAAACTGAAAGAATACTGAAAAGAGAAATGCATCTTGCTGTCCAATCCATTTTGGGTTAGAAACAAATATTCATTATCCCAGAATAATTATCAAATTGTAGTATTCAAATCATGGGCACCAGTAACACTTTGAGAACTTCTTGGAAATTCATCAGAAATGCAAATACAGTACCCCAGTTCCACACTAGATGCACAGAATTAGGGACTTGGAGTAAGGCCTAGCTCCTATGTTTTAACAAGTCTTCCAAATTATTTTGATGTACAATAAAGTTTGAGAACATTGCTCTAGACGTTAACTTCCTTGTACAGAGAATACAATCTACACTCAAGTTGGCATACGGCTTTAAAAAAAATCAGTACATGTTTGCATTATGTGATTACATTCATTGGGGGGAACTGGTACATGAACATAACATCGTTTTTCATCCTCTTTCCCTCCCCTTTTTCTTACTCCTTGATGTGATGATAGAATTCTTGCTCCACCATATGGGATAGTTCCAAGTCACTCCTGGACCAATACCAGAATTCTTAGTCATTTTTATATGAACAATCACCTTTAAATATTTTGAGAAAAGCAGTTCCTTACCTGTTGTGATAGCTGTTTGCTAGCTAATTCATAAAGGCAAGCTAGCTTTCCAGAGAGTGATTTTGCAGTTTTGAAACCAAATGAAAATAGCATTATTTCAGCAATCATTTGACAGTGGGGCACCACCATTGCCACTGGGCGAAACAGAGATTTTAAGTTACCTGGGAGCTCTACTCGCCCTCCGTATCTTAAGAGGAAAAGAAAAACAAACACATATCCGTGATTTTTCAAATGATACTTTCCCAATAAATAATTCTATTGCCTTTCTATGTGACCCATCTGAAAACAAGAAGCTGATTTTTGTTGTAACTTTTATTTCATAGAGCTATTTTCTTCCCTTGTCTCAGCCCACAATTCACTTCCTAACATCTCTCTCTCTCTCTCTGATTTCCTGGACTAAAGCAGCATTCAATCAGATATTTAATGAACCAGCTCAACCTTTACTCCTCGCAACTGCCATATTCTTATTCCCATCAGCCTTTCTGCCTTGCCCTCTTTGTGACAAAATGGTGACTTTTTCCTTTCATTCAGGACATTCATGAAGTAAAAGTGTTCCTTGGTCATATCTTAATGTGAGTTCACACATAGGAATAAGTGCAGAGTTGCTATGAAGTGGCTGCTCATAAATGGTGTGGGGAGAAGGTGTGGTTTCAGAGGAGTGTGGAGATACCAGGCACTCAAGACTTAAAAGGATTTTGGTCTGTCTCCACCAGATTCACTGATACATACCCAGGATTCATGGTGATAAATACTGCACAAGACATATTGATACAAAGTTCTTTTCCATCCAGCACAAACCTACAAGACATTAGTCTTTACTGAAACTGTCAAAGTACAGGTCAAAGTACATTAAAACCACAGGGACAACTTTCTTAAGGCTGTATAACATTTAAACACAAACAAACAATATTAGGAAAAATAATGGTAACAGAGAGAAGAGGCTTGAGTTAAAATTGTGACCCATGCTGACAGAGATATATTTGGTCTCGTCTACAGAAGACAGAAGAGCTTTGTGGGACTGAGGCTGGAAGGTACTTGTGTCAGAGTTGACTTACACAGGCAAAAGGAGCCTGGGGAGACCTTTGAGGAACAAGACAGCCCTGCTTGGATGACAGAACAAAGAGGGCACAGCATAGATTTCTGCTTTAGCATGGAACACAGAATACTTCCCAAGTCTTTCCCTTCCCTAGTTAAAAAAAACTCTGGGACCCCTGTGATAAAGGGACCTTGGCATGGCATCAGAGTCCTGTATTTGGCACGAGTTGTACAGGCAATGACCAAAGACTGGGACAAAATCCGGGGAAGCCTTGGACATAAATCAAGCAGTTTACAGAGGTTGAATGTAGTGAAGAATGGGTGAAATGTGGGTTACTGTGAAGACCAGCTCCGACCACTGACTCGCGAGGTCTGCTGCTAACAGTAATTTGAAGTGAACCCAGAATAAAACACACAAATTAAGGCCCATTATTCATATTTTGGATTATAACAGTAATTTTAAACTCACAAATCCATGTGTGTCCAAAAAGTACATAATGTGTTTTCCTGAATTTATCTGAAGAGAAAAACGAATTCTGCTGGTATTACTAAACAGTAGCAACCCTAACACGTGTATGGTTATTGCAGAGTTTTGCAGTAAAAGCATCTTCATCAGGGCAATGAAACAAGGGCAGGGTGTATTTCAGGTGTGTGGCCCGCAGTACTTTATTTTTTAAAAAGGATGTAGATTAATTAATAATAAAAAGGCCACGGTATTTGGTTTCTTTAAACGCGACGTCCTAAGAAGAAAAGGCAAGGGAGTTTAAGAAGGAAGCACCACCGTAAGTGGGAATCCCAAAGCCACCTGACGGAGTGGCTGTCGCGCGCCGCCTTCAGCGCCAGCATCTGGGCGGCCAGGGCCGCGAGCACCTCGGCGCCCACACGGTTCAGCTCGTCCAGACAGCACCAGGCACCCGACTGCGCCAGTCCGTACACGAACCGGCTTACAATCTGGAAGAAGAAAACACAAGACTGACAGGGCGCACTCCCGCTGGGACAAGGCGGTAAGCAGGGCGCTTCCTCCCTGGGCTGCCGGCACAGCGCCCACAGCCGACCTGCCACAGCCGCGCTCTGGGGGGCGGGGGCCAAAAGTAGCACACACGCAGCCGTGCGGCCGGACGGAAGCCGGAAGCCGGAAGCCGGAGGGGTTTCTGAGGAGGACCCAAAGACTGGGAGGAAGGGTTCCAGGCCGGACCCGCGGACGCCTGCGCCTGGCTGGAGTTTGGGGTCTCTTGCTTTGTGAATGTCAGCAACTAAAACCGAGGGAGAACGCGGTGGAGCTCCTCAGAGCGGACCCGAGGGCTGACACAGCTGGACGCCTGCCAGGGACCAAAGCTGCTCCTCCCCGGGCAGCAGAAGGGCAGCTCGTCTTCATTTAAAACTTCCGTTGTCCACCATGGGATGGGGAGGGAGACTAAGAACATGCAAACCGAGGTGCAGGGCTGGACTATAGCGAGTAGAGAACCTGTCCCAGCTCACGGCCTGGGCTCAATTCCCAGCATCACAAAGAACACCAAATCGCAGAGTTAAATGTGTGACAGACATGCACAGAGGTACATGAACTTGTAATACGCATCTTGAGTGTTAGGTATTAATTTGCAACCAAAACAGCCTGCCGTAAACTCGCAATTATTGTCTATATAAACTCATGTTTGTTTTAATCATAAATGATATTAATGATGGTTTTGAGACGACTTAGATTTATATTAATGAACAGTACTCTTATGTACTTATATGCCATATAGGTTTTGTTTAAAAAGAATCCCACTGTCAGGAACTTGGAAAACTGCCACTATAAGGAGTTCAGTCGAATTAAAATAAATATACAGGTATATAGTGTTGTTAGTTTCTATTAAATTCTAGGTTTGTGTTTTATAATATTTTTAAAGAATATTATTTATAGCTCTAGCTGGGTGTGATGGCACCAGCTTATAACCCCAGCACTCTAGTACTAAGATAGGAGAATCACAGCAGGTTCAAGGCCAGCCTGAACTACATAGCTAGTCCGTGTCTCAAAACAAACAAACAAAATATACTCCCCATATATGTGTGTATATACTCAATATATATAAGATATTTTTTCATTCCTGTGATGGTTTATGTGTACAATAACTTTTCCTGAGTATGTATAAGTTTTACCTTATAGTCCAGATCTTCGAAACAGTTGAAGACTATACAGTGTTTACCTAAAGCCTGGGAAACAAAAAATATTGTTTAAAATATTTCTTGAATTATGACACAAAATACTAATAATAGAACTGCAAAAGTGATAAAAGGTCATTATTACACTTTTGAGAAGAAAATTGTAATATAAAAAGATGAGTTAGATGTCAAATGTAGATATTCACATAGTACAGTGTAGTTGATTAGTTCATACAGCATCAAGGTCATATGTTCACACAAATTTACAAATAAAAAACTAAAAAGAAAACATGCTAGTGTCACAAACTATATTTTCTGCTTTTAGTTACTATTTCTCTTTCTCTCTCTCTCTCTCTCTCTCACACACACACACAGTGATGTTATCCTTCACATGTTAATTCATATAGAAACATTCCAAGTGAAAACAAAGCATGTGTAGGCTGAGATCCCAGTCCCCCACATGATAGGCATTCAAAAACTACCTGATGAGCTGAACTAATGAATATGTTAGTTAAATACAGTAAACATCTTAATAGCAGAAATGATGTAAATTTGAGGTACCATTAAAATTTGTGTGATAGAAATAAAAGAAGCTTCTTTCTGGATTTCGAAGCTACTTACTTTTGCTAGATCTTTAACAGTCTCAGTTTTTCCTACACCAGCGGGACCAGCAGGCAGCCTCCCAGGTTCCAGTTCAGTGCTCTAGTGAGAGTGAGCCAGCAGCGTTCTGTGAGAGGCGTTATAACCAGCCTGGTGGTGCAACCCAAGTACTCATAGCCATAAGTGAAGCTAGCATCTCCTTGAGACATATAACACAACCTTTGTTTTTCATTCCATTTATATTGCAAATGTCTGAAAGCAATATTTAAATGCTTACATTGTTTGGGTAAAACATTTTTATTACTTTTCACATGCAGAAACAAGATTAGAAATGGAGTATGAATGAGAAAACAAATAGAAATCAAAATATAAAAATAAGTGAGAATAGGGCTGGGGATGTAGCTTAGTGGTGCTGCACCTGGAAAACATAAGGTACCCAAAAAAAAGTGAGAATTAATATAAAATTGAAGTACACTGGGTAAACAAAAAATTGCCACAACAAAGGCACAGCAGCAGCATCTGTTGAAATGAGAAAACACAAAAACAAGTCTCAAAACCAGACTTCCAGATCACCTAAGGCAACCACTAGGGGAATAAGATGGAACAATCTGATAACCACATAGATCCCCTAAACTGGCAACAAAAGAGGATATCAAAAAAGTGAAATCAGAAATTATTTTTCAGACAGCAAGAGAGATTGTGTCCATAGTGAAAGATATGATTGATAGCTGTAGAGCAGATACAGATTTTAAAAATGCAACAGGTGGAATCCCAGCATAGGAAACAAATGAAACCCATAACACAGATGCAATAGTTATCCAGGAGATTAAAAACTCTATTGAAAGTTAATGCAGTAGAATGAGCCAATGTGATGACAGAATATCAGATATAGAAGGCAGAATTGCCGTTTATTGATACAGTTAAGGTAAACAATATAATTATATTCACCGTTGGGATCATGTACCTTTACATGATATATCTGGGTTCATGGATTTTAAAAGAATTTTTAAAATAATAAGGGACCATGAGAAATCAATGCAGCAGCTTCTGGATGATGCAAAGAAGAATAACATGAGACTGGAGTCAATGAAGAAACTGGAGAGTGCACAAAAGACGTAAAAACAATCGTTTATGGAAGTAATGGCAGAAAACTTCCCAAGTAGGGAAAAATAACTTGACATATAGATAAGTGAGGCATATAGGACTGCAACTAGCCATGATCAAAAATAATCTACACCTAGGCATGTAGTAAAGATTACAAAAACCCAACAGAAGAACAACATACTACAAGCAGTTAGAGAAAAGAAATGAATCACATACAAAGGAAAGCCCATCAGTATCACAGCAACTTCTCAACACAAACCCTCAAGTCAAGAAGAGCCTGGAGTGAAGTATTGCAAGACCTACAAGCAAACAACTTCCAACCCAAACTGAGGTACCCTGCGGAAGAACTATCTTACAAAATTCATGGAAAAATAAGATACTTTCATGACAAAGAGCACCTGAGGAAATTCATGAAAACAAGCCAGAACTCCAAAACTGTTTAAATAATATCCTAGGAAAAGACAACAAGGATCACAACTCCAGGAAGCCCAGCAGAATGAATACATGGGCAAGAAGAGAAACTGAACGCAAAGGGGCAGAATCCAGCAAAAACAAAGGGTCAGGACAAGGATAAGCCAATACATATCAGTCACAGCCATCAGTGTCTCGAGTCACCAATCAAAGGAAATAGGCTGTCGAAATGGGTCAAGAAGCAAGATCCCACAATACGTTGTGCACAAGAAATACCCTTCATCGAAAAAGAAATGTACTTATGCACTGAAAGGGAAAGAGTGAAAAACAATACTGAATGCAACAGGAACCTGAAAACCCCTGAACAAATGGACTTAACAGATGTTTATAGAGTATTCAACCCACAAAATCAGAATACACATTCTTTTTGGGTGCACACAGGTTGTTCTCCAAAGTAGACCACATACTTTCTCATAGAACATGTTTAAGTAAGTGCAAAGGAATTGAAGTTATGCCCTGTATATTATCAGACCATAGTGTGATGAAACTGGAGATGAATAGCAAAAGAATCTACAAGAATTTCATAAACACATGGAAATTGAACACACTTCTGAATAACCAATGGGTCACAGAGGAAATTAAAGAAGAAATCAGTTTCTACAATTAAATGTCAATGCCAATACAACTTATGGAATCTATGGGACACATGAAAGCAGTCTTATGAGGTAAATTAATAGCAGTGGATACTCATATTAGGAAAACGGAACAAGCTTAAACAAACTGATACTGAACCTCAATCTACTAGAAAAGAAAAGGAGGACAAACCAAGCTCATACAAGGGAGGAAATTATAAAGATCAGAGAAGAAATCAATGCAATGGAGACTAAGAGAATGACACAAAAAATAATTGAAGCAAAGAGTTCATTCTTCAAAAAAAAAAAAAAAAAACACCAACAAAACAAAAAAAAAAAAAAAAAAAAAAAAAAAAGAAAGAAAGAAAGAGAAAGAAAAGGCCCAAATCCACACAATTAGGAATGAAAAGGGTGAAATTACAACAGACCCAGCAGAAATCCAGAGGATCATAAATACCTACTTCAAGAACCTATACTCTAGCCAGACATGGTAGCACACGCTTGTAATCCCAGCACTCAGGAGGCTGAGGCAGGAGGATCGCTGTGAGTTAGAGACCAGCCTGGATTACACAGTGAGTTCCAGGTCAGTCTCAACTATATAGTGAGACCCTGTCTCAAAATAAAAAAAGAACCTATACTCTAATAAGATGGAAAACACAGAAGAAATGGACAGATTTCTAGATATGTATGAATTACCAAAGTTGAATGAAGATGATCTAAAAATTCTAAACAACCCAATATTAATCAATATTATTGAAAACTTACCACTGAAGAAAAGTCCTGATGGCTTCACTGCTGAATTCTACAAGACACTTAGAGAAGAACTACTGCCACTACTGTTTAAACTCTTCAACGAAATTGAAAGGGAAACAATACTCCCAAATTCCTTCCTAGAAGCAAGCATCACCTTAATCCCCAAATCAGAGAAAGACCCAACCAAAAAAGAGAATGATAGGTTAATCTCACTAATGAACATACATGCAAAAATCCTCAATAAGATACTGGTAAACAGAACGCTGAAGATCATACACCCTGACCAAGTGAGCTTCATCCCAGGGATGCAGGGATGGCTTACCATATACAAATCAATGAACATAACACACTATATTAATAGAGCCAAGGACATTAATAGAGCCATATGATCATCTCAATAGATGCCGAAAAAGCATTTGACAGAATCGAACACACATTCATGATAAAAACCTGCAGGAAATTGGAATAGGCAGTCTCTATCGCAATCTGATAAAAGCCATCTATAAAAAAACAACAGCAAACATCATACTAAATGGCCAAAAACTCCAATCACACTAAAATCAGGAACAAGACAAGGATGTCCACTATCACCACTCATGTTCAATATAGTTTTGGAAAAGAAATAAAAGGAATAAAGATAGTAAACAAATAAGTTAAATTGTTATTATTTGCTGATGACATGATACGCTATACAGAAGACCCCAAGAACTCCACTAAAAGTCTCCCAGACTTAATAACCAAATTCAGCAGAGTAGCTGGATACAAGGTCAACACACAAAAATCAATAGCTTTCCTGTACACAAACAACAGACTCACTGAAAGAGTAACTGGAGAAACAACTCCTTTCACAGTAGCATCCAAAAACCAAAACCAAAACCAAAACCTAGAAATCAACCTAACGAAAGAAATCAAAGACTGCTACTCTGAAAATGATAGCACTCTGGGGCCAGGGACTTAGTTCAGTGATGCCAGTGCCTGCCTTGCAAGCACAAGGTCCTAAAATCAATCCCCAGTACCAAAGCAAAACAAAAAACAAAAATCCTATAGCACTCTGAAAAAAAGAGATCAAAGATGATATTAGAAAATGGAAAGACATCCCTTGCTCCTGGGTAGGAAGAACCAACATAGCGAAATTGGCCATTCTTTCAAAACTGCTATATAGATTCAATGCAATCCCAACTGAAATTCCAATAGCATCTTCACAAAACTTGAGAAAACAATCCAAAAATTAATTTGGAACAAGAAGAGACCTAGAATAGCAAAAGCAATTCTAGGCAACAAAGACAAGGTAGCAGGTATCACAATCCCCAATTTGAAACTATACTACAAAGCTACTGTGATAAAAACAGCACGACACTGGCAAAGAAACAGACCCCAGGAACCGTGGACCACAACAGAAGATGCAAAAACAACTCCAGACATACTCAGGAAAGATAGCCTCTTTCATAAATGTTCCCGGAAGAATTGGGTTTTAACTTGCCAAAGAATAAAACTAGACCTATATCTCTCACCACGCACTAAATGAAAATCAAAATGGATTAAAGATCTTGGGCCAGGGATTTAGCTCAGGGGTGCTGCCAACTGTCTCAAAAGGGCAAAGTCTCGAGTTTGTTAGGTAGAACTCTTGAGGACATTGGCATAGGAAAAGGTTTCATGAACAAAACCTCAGTTGCCCATGAACTAGCACAAAGAATCAACAAGTGGGATCTCTTCTTATTAAAAAGCTTCTGCACAGCAACAGAAACCACCAACAGTGTGAAGAGACAACACACACTGTGGGAAAAATTTTCACCAGCTGTTCCTTGGACAAAAGTCTACGATCTAGAATACATAAAGTACTTAAAAAAATCAGACTTCCCAAATTTAAAGACTGAATCCAAAAACAGGCATCTGAAACAAACATTCATTTCTCAGACAAAGAAGTAGAAATAGCAAATAAACATAAAAAAATGTTCAACATCACTGGACATTCAAGAGATGCAGACGAAAACAACTCTGAGATTCCACCTCACCCCAGAAAGAATGACGGCTATCAAGAAACCAACCAATAACAAATGCTGGAGGGGCTGTGGGGAAAAAGGAACCCTGCTTCACTGCTGGTGGGAGTGCAGACTGGTGCAACCACTGTGGAAATCACTATAGAGAGACCTCAAAAAACTAGGCTTAGAAGTCCCATTTGACCCAGTTAGTCCCCTGCTGGGGAATTAAAAAGAATGAAAAGAATCACACGACAGCATTCTATGTGCACCCATGTTCATAGTGGCACAATTTCTAATAACTAAAACTTGGAAACAGCCCAATTGCCCATCAAATTGAGACTAAAGAAAATGTGGTGTTTTTTTTTGTTTGTTTGCTGTTTATAAAATGGAGCACTACTCATCCATAAAGAAAGAGAATCTAGAGACATTTATAGCTAAATGGATGCACATCGAGGCCATACTCAAACAAATAGCACACAAATGTGTAAATACCATATTTCTCTGGTGTAATAAGGATAAACATTTATAATATACGATGTGAAATAGAAAAAAGGTCTAAAGGGGAAGGGGAAGTTGGAGGGGTAAAGGAAAGGAAAGAAGGGAAAGGAATAAATACGAGAAGGGAAAAATGGAAACAAAGTCTTTGTAAATAGGGAGGGGTGGAGGGGCTGAAGGGAGGGCAGGGGAGTGGAGAACCAAGATAGATCATGTAAAGGTACAAATTCCTAATAATGAATGTCAGCATACTGTATACCTAAAATGTACCAATAAAATTAGTGAATGAAAATAAATTTTCAAGATGAATTTAAAAAATTTTCTAAATTTAAAGTACCACCTTGTATGTCTAAGATGAGAAAACATAAAATATAAGCAAAAAACAGAGAAAACTTTAAAAACTTAATTCAAAAATTTGAAGCTTGCTGAGCCTGGTGCATTCCTGTAATCCCAGTGCTCAGGAGGCTACGGTAGGAGAATCCCTGTGAGTTTGAGACCAGCCTGAACTATACCTAGTAAAACCCTGTCTAAAAACTTTTTAAAACTCTACATTTAATGTCTAGAATCATAAACTTGATCTCCTTTTCTCATCAAACCTAGTAGTTCTCTTTTTGTGTGGTTTCTTATTTGACTACTTGACTACAGGTGGGAGAAAGGGAGTTTCTGGCTTGGGGAGTTGCCTCGAAATGTCCGATTTGTTTCTCCAACCTGGTTGGTGCAGCACAGCGGGGAAAGAAGCGGCAGGAGGCCAGCCTCTTACTACCTCTGGAAACTGGCTGAGCGGCATGAGAAACGCTGCAACTACAGAGGAGCATGATCAGGAGGGAAACAGGAAGAAAGATGAGGCTCAGGGACAGGAGAAACGAGAAGGAAGAAAGCCCAGGAAAACGATACTCCAATTGGGGCAGTTTGCTTAGAATATCAGCAAATTTCTGAAAATTAAAATCTGAGTTTGACATAGTCTGAAGTAGAAAATCAATTTACCTAAAAACATGTGTGTGTGAGAAGTTACGATACGTAGTTACCGTTTGGGTCTACTTACCTCGTCCACTCAAAATCCTCCGAACTGAAGATGTTTCTAAGTAGCAAATCTATCACAATGTCTCTGTAGTGGACATACAGGGTGAGCAAGGCACCGAGGACAGTCTTCGTGCGAGAGCCATTAGTATTCAGCATTACCAGATCCGCGGCCTCTTCTAGATGACCCAGCACAGTGGTGTGGACTTTTCTTAGCTCTTCTCTTGAATGAGAACTCACAAAACTTTTGATACAATCATTGTAAAACATGATCTGTCTCTGAAAAAAAAGTAAATATACACACAATTTTAAATTAAAACATTTTCATGAAGTACATGCTTCATTTCATGAAGTATATCAAAGTGATGTACCTAAAAGACTTTGTCTGTAATTGTACTTTTCAGAAAATGTACATAACTCCTGTTATTTGGTCCCTCTTTTCCCATTCACTCTTCCCATATATACCAGAACTGTGTTAAAAAGACCACGGGATGAAGGTCACACTGACTGGAAGTTAAAGGAAGACAGAACATCTGGAAAGCTTCGTGGGGTTCTGGCCTGTACAGCTGAACTGTGGATCCAGTTCCTTGCTGAGAGGACCTTCTAGAAGAAGAGCATCCTGCAGATGAGGGGACATAATACATTCCTTTGGGGATATACTAAATTCAAAGTGTCTAAAATAGGGTGATAAAGTTATGCAAATAGGCATAATTAGCATAGATGCAATATGCGTCATCGTGAGATTTCCAGAACAAGCTAAGAGGGCATAGATTCATGTATCAGCTGGCATTCTCGACTGCAGGACACAGAAACTGATGCGGGCATTCTTAGAGGATATTGTAGTCTTGCAATCAGCAGGTCACAGGAGACTGGAAATTGAGGCTTGGGAAGGGCAGGTGCAAGCATCTGGGTCAGGCAGCAGGGTCACAGATAAGCCCGCATCACAGTGGAGTGTATATTGCTGCCTTCAGTGACTCATTCCAGATTCACCCCCTCGGGAGAATGCTCAAGGTGAGGGTATCTGAACCAGACTTTAAAGTGTTTTCATCTGTTTATTCATAGAGGAATTACTAATCAGCATATCCTGGATAAATCCATATTTAAATTCTCTTAGTGGCTAATGCATACAGGCATCTTACTCTCTCCAGTCCCTCAAAGATATCTTTTTTATTTCCATTCAGAGATAGCTCCTACTCAGATAACACATATATAATAAATAAAAGAGGAAAGAGTTATAAATTGCATCTTGGGATGGGAAATTAGCAGTACGAAGAACAGATTGGGGAAAAACTTTGGCAAAAGTAGTACATTTATTGATTGAAGCTACTGTCTACCTTAAAAGTGTTTCTGGAAATAGAAATAGGTTGTCAGTGGTTTACATCTAAGATGTCCTCCAAAAGTCTCATGCATTCAGAGGTGGAGCTTTCACAAGGGCTCTAACTCATGTCAGCCAGGAAGCAGAGAGCACAGAGAGGAGCCAGAGGGGAGATTTACCCTCCAAAGGCAGCCCCAGTGACACACCTCTGCCAAGCAGGCCCTGCCCCTGAACAGCACATTTAGCTATGAACTCATCCATAGATAGTGCTCCATGTTCAAATCACATTCCGAGAGCCCAACTCTGAATACATGATAGCTTGGGGGCATTTTAAATCTAAACCCTGAAATACAGCTTTAAGATTAGAGAATCCTTTCCACCTGTGGGCAGAGGGAGCTGTGACTACAGAAAAATGATCAGAGAGGTACTAGTGTTGAAGACAGAAGAAGAGGCCAGAGCCAAGGAATGGTGGGAAGTTGGAAAAGGGGACGGGGATTTGGCTCAGTGGTTCCACCACGTGCCTTGCAAGCGCAAGGTCCCGAGTTCAATCCCTGGTACCCCTCACTAAAGAGTTGGAAAAGGCTAGGAAGTGGATTTTCCACAAGTGCCTCCAGAAAGGAATGGAGCCCCAAACTACGCATTTATACTGGGATGCATACATCAAAACAGTATTGACTTACCACTGTGAGGACCACTTGTCCTGGGTGAGACATCACCCATAGGGGAAAAATTTGGTACTTCCAGTCTTCAACCCCTTGAATCATAAATCTGTGAACAAAAATATTATATTATTCATTAAGCATATATTATTGATAGGGAGCATTTAATTATTAAGTATGACAAGGCCATGGGGTGTTTTATTTTTATATCTCTAATTGTTTTATCCTAATTTAGACATAGGTGTGGTGCCAAACAAAATCGCCAAAGGCCTAATCTTTGCACAGTGCACATTCCTGAAATTGCTCTTCAACATTATTTATACTTTTATGATGAAACCATTGAGTTTCTGGCATGGCGAAAATATGTTAAATTAGAGGACACATTGGTTTTGAATTACAAATACTATCAATCGCAAAATGTGTACTTAAAGGACTTTCTATAAAATGAAATAGTGGGTTTAAAAATCCAGATAAAATTTAATAGAAATGTCCTGCATTTAGCTTTAAAAATAGTTACAATGGAGAGGATATAATTTATTAAAAATATTGAGACAGGTTTATTTAAGATCAAAGTTTATATAAGTCAACAGTATATATTTAGATATTATTATGGCATTTTTCTCCATAATAAAGTTAGAAAAATTTTAACTTTCTTAATAGTTGAATTGATTAATCTTTTGATTTAAAGTTTCTGTTTTACTGATATATTTTACAAATCCTCAACACTGAATTTTATTGTTTTTCTAATATTGAAATGGCCTTGTTTTTACAAACTAATCTTAAATTCATTTAGAATTTATTTAAATATTTGAAATAAAGTATTCAAATTTTATTGATTGCAAATAGTATCTATTATTTTTTAACAACTTATTTTATACAATGTTTTGGTGGAGTACCGGGGATCAAACTTGGGTCCTTGTGCTTGCAAGGCAGGTGGTGGAACCACTGAGCTAAATCCCCAGCCCTATTTTATATAATATTTATATCTTTATCCATGAGTCGCACATTCGTGGATTCAACCAAGTGCACACTGAAAACATTTGAAAAAAATATTGTCGTTAATAAACACGTAGACTTTCTTCTTGTCATTATTCTCTAAATAATATAGTGTGACACCTATATCTATAGCATTTATGTTATATTAGTTGTGCGAAGTCCTCAGGAGGTGACTTAAGTGCTTGGGAGAACATGGGAGTCTGTGCAAACACAGTCTGTTCTATTTAAGGAACCTGAGCATCTGTGAGTTTGGGTGTAGGGGAGGTATGTGTCCTGAAGCACATCCTCGATGGATACTGAGGGATGCCTGTATTTCAAAGCATTATCAGTGGGAAATATATCTTTCATCAATTAAGAGAACTTTATTTTAAAAATATCGTTTGTATTTAATTTTACTCTCAAACATAGTCTTTGTTTTCAGTTCCATGAAATAATTTTACTGGTTTTATTCATAACTTTGTTACATTTCTATCCCTCTCAAACACATACTGTTAAGTTTCTTTGGACAAAATCTTTTAATTGCAATCTCATTTCATTCATGGTTATGATTTTTTTTTTTGGTACCGGGGATTGAACACGGGTCCTTGCACTTGCAAGGCAGGCCACCGAACCACTGAGCTAAATCCCCGGCCCTATGATTTGTATTTTAGGTTTTATTTAGTTGTTTGCTTTTGCTTTTATTTCTTTCAGTGCGGCATCAAACCTAGGGCCTTGCACACACTAGATAAGTGCTCTACCACTGGGCTGTCTCTCAAGCCTGTATTTTCTATTTTGATACTTATTTTATTTTGTGCTTATACACAGAAACACATCCAAGCATAGTATATTTCCTCAAGCGTTTTGGAAATATTTATTCTGTTTTCTATAGACTATCAGGAGAAACTGTATCAAGATTTCTAACTTAGCAATTATCCTATCTTCATTCTTCAGATGATAAAAATACACAGAAAAAAAAAATATACCGAAAAACACAACAGTGTGCTCCAGGTATCAAAAGCTTGAAAATTTTCTAGTAGATGGAAATTGGGATTGATTTACAGAGATAAGAATGGAGAAACAAACAACAACAGAAAAAAAGAACCATTACTGCTGCAAACCCAGGTGGGTGGGAGCCCAGGGCCAACCCTAGTACTCCCTAGAAAAGGAATACAACCTTGGCACGACGATGCAATAAGAGATAACGCATCTAACAAGAGGAAGAGAAGACAGCCCACACCAAAGTCTGCTTATTACAAAACACACGGTACGGTGGTACGAATGCGTCCAATGAAATGTCAAATTAAGTGTTAAAAAGGCAGAGTTTCGGTCACAACTTTAGTTGGAAGCAGCAGGTTCCAAAGGTTCCTTAGAGTTAGCGAGGAAGAGGGCAAGGTTAGAGAGAGTAGATGTTGAAGCGTAGGGTCCAGTGAGTGGGGAAGCCCAGAGGAGCAACGGTGGACAGCAGCGTCCCTGGATCTGCTGTGTTTTAGGTAAGGGAGGCAAAGTCTGCTCCACTCTAAGGAGGCACAGGAGAGCTGCACAGGTGCCTTAGAGCCAACTGGAAGGCGGAGGACAAATAAATCTGGTCATAAAATCCATGGTCCTGAGCATCCCGAGTACACAGAAGACAGATGAAGAGAGAGAGGGAACTTCTGAGCAAACAATGACAGCACTGACAGAAACACCTTATAGTTATAAAATATTTTTTAAAAATTAAAACAAAGTAAAATTAATTATTATACTTTATAGAAGCATACATAGCACAGAAATGTTAAATATATGACACAAATGTTTGTGACCCTAGAAACAGGTATAAGTTAATAACATTTAAGCATTGAATTCTTAAAATAGCTTTTAAATTAATAACTGGCACAAAACTGATGGCACTAAATGTGCACTACACTGAGAAGGTTTAGGTACAGCCACATACCATGAAAATATGACAGGTGTTAAAAATAGAAAAAGAGAAATTGGGAAATACGAAAGTTAAGGATTGTTTATCATAGGTGTCTAAGACAGAAAGCAAGTGGCCCAAAAATGAATAAGAAACTCAAGCAAAGTTCAACATCAGAAAATTTATAAACGTGGCTCATGACACCTATAAACTACATGCTAACCTGGATTTGATTTTTCTCATTGGGGTCATAAAAATCTTTGTTGTAGTTAGCATATATCCTTTCATTCTGAAAACCACACTAAATAGCACATGGCAGGAGAGGCAGGCACAGCTATCCCTGTCCCACGGATTCACCAAACAGTCTGGTGCACAGCAGACAGAAGTGAAGAAAATCTCCATACCAAAATGGGAAAGGGGAGGGGAGACAGAGAGTCCCAATTCTAGCACAGCGTCTGATAATCAGGAAGGAACCTTGAAGTTCCAACACCTTCCTGGGGACAAAAGGGTTTTTTACCAGGAATATAGCACTCCTCTGGTCTCAGCCGGGGTGGGGGTGGTCCTTGAATCACGCATCAGGGACAGCACTGGAGCGTTTCCCCAAAGCATAAATAACAACCAGGTGGTTTGACCAGGTAGAGCATTCCCAGGGCTGTAGCCATCACTAGGATCCGTTCAGCTTCCATCTCTCCCTTCACACTCTCTTAGCAGTTCTGGCTTTTAAGTAGACAGCAGACAGTAGACATCCTCAAGCGCAAAAGAAAGGGAGATCACTCTTCACGCTGTCTTTTCTGGCTAGCTACCATGGAAACTACAGGGCCACAGGTTCTCCATGAAGGAGTCTGCGAGACCTCTGTAAACCTAACAGGAGGGTGATCACTCCTGGAGCTGCTTTCTCTGGAGATAAGTAGATTTGCAGACTCCCTCTGGGGGGAATTTGTGGGCACATAGAGCACCCCAACTTTTACAGCCTCTACCCGAAGGGCCAGTTTTTAAATCACTAGGTTCTCAGAGTTGACAGGGCTCTGAATTCCTGGATATCACTAGATGACAGACAACAAAAGGTGAGTTTTAAACGTGCACACTTTCATATGATAATTGAACAAAAAAATTAAATACAGGGACTTAACAGCAGACTAGATGTAGTAGCAGAAAGGAATAAGAAACTTCAAATCAGATTACTGTAGAACAAAACATTTATAAAACAACCAAAAAAACAAGTTTTCAGATGGCAATAAGTTCTTACCTGCCAACAATAACCTTGTGTATGAATGGATTACATTGTTCAACAAGAGACATAGAAAGGCTGAATTGATTTAAAAAAAGACATGCAAAGACTCACATCACCATAAATACACACATAGATACTCTAAAATGAGACAAAAGGGTCCTGACATAATGATAAAAGGGGCAATTAACCAGAGGCCATAACAATTATGAATGCCTGTGTTCAATGTTGGAGCATCTAAACATATAAAGTAAATATTAAGAGATGTGAAGGGAGAACGAGGCTGCATATAGTTACACAGGGGGACTTCAGTACCCCACTTTTAACAGTGGACACATAATCCAAAAAGTCAATAAAAGGGCCAGGTGTGGTGGTGTACACCTGTAATAACACCACTTGGGAGGCTGAGGCAGGAAGATCGCTATGAGTTCAAGACCAGCCTGGGCTACACAGTGAGTACCAGGGCAGTCCCAACTACATAGTGAGATCCTGTCTCAAACAAAATAAAAAACAAAAAACAAAACCAAAAAAAAAGCAACAAAATGCAAAAACAAAAACAAATAAGGGGGCTGGGGATTTAGCTCCGTGGTTCTTGCGCCTGCCTTGCAAGCACAAGGACCTGAGTTTGAGCCTCAGTACTGAAGAGAAGAAGAGGAAGAAGAGGAAGAAGAGGAAGAAGAGGAAGAAGAGGAAGAAGAGGAGGGAGGAGGGG